GGCTGCTAAGACCTGCACTCATCAGGACAGACTCACAAGAAAACCTCATTTTAAAGAGAACAACAATTTATACTGCATGAGAATCGGGGCTGCAGATTGGATGGAAAGATGTTCAAGGTGTTAACAGATGAACACACAAGGAAACAGGATAGTGTGCATGTTATATATTTTATATATCACAGCATAGGCTGTATACAAGGTAGATATTATTGAAAAAGTTAATGATTTGAAGAAGTTATTTCACCCATGATGTCTCTCATAGAGTGTGGGTAGGGTCAAGGAAATATATTCTAGCTTTTGCCGAGGGAGCAGATGCATCTGTACCAACTCTCTAAGGTCCTTGTCATTATACCTGACCAAATGTAGTTCCACTTACTGCTATCATAAGATGAAACTTCTTCTTGTCTCAGGACAGTGCTTCTTTTCCAGATACCGTATGGTGGTGTACATTCCATCACTAATCCCTAAATAGGCCTGTAAGAAAGCAAAGGCAAAGGGGGATTGGTGGCAACAAACGACTTGAAAATGTCCTTACCCAGTACTACATATTGTAGAGGTGGCAAATACCTCAAGGTGGTAGGCAGTGGTTATCTAGAAAAATACCTCAGATATTTCTGCTTACAGCACGTACAGTGTCAATATTACTGCACATAATGTGTACAGATTACATATCACTCCACACACTGGGCACAGATTACATTTTTAAAAAATTCATTCATGGGATGTGGGCATTGCTGACTAGGCGAGTATTTAGTGCCCATCCCACTTTGCCCAGAGGGAAGTTAAGAAACAACCATTGTGAGTCTGGAGTCACATGTAGGCCAGACAGGATAAGGATGGCAGTTTCCTTCCCAAAAGGATGTGGATGCTTTGGAGAGGGTGCAGAGGAGGTTCACCAGGATATTGCCTGGTATGGAGGGTGCTAGCTATGAAGAGAGGTTGAGTAGTTAGGATTATTTACATTAGAAAGACGGAGGTTGAGGGGGGACATGAGAGGTATAGATAGGGTGGATAGAAAGAAGCTTTTTCCCAGAGTGGGGGACTCAATTACTAGGGGTCATGATTTCAAGGTGAGAGGGGAGAAGTTTAAGGGAGATATGCGTGGAAAGTTCTTTACGCAGAGGGTGATGGGTGCCTGGAACACGTTGCCAGCGGAGGTGGTAGAGGCGGGCACGATAGCGTCATTTAAGATGTATCTAGACAGATACATGAATGGGCAGGGAGCAGAGGGATACAGATCCTTGGAAAATAGGCAAGGCTGACGTTTCGGGCCTAGACCCTTCTTCAGAAAGGGTCTAGGCCCGAAACGTCAGCCTTCCTGCTCCTCTGATGCTGCTTGGCCTGCTGTGTTCATCCAGCTCTACAGCTTGTTATCTCAGATTCTGCAGCATCTGCAGTTCCTACTATCTTGGAAAATAGGCGACAGGTTTAGATAGAGGAACTGGATCGGCGCAGGCTTGGAGGGCCGAAGGGCCTGTTCCTGTGCTGTAATTTTCTTTGATTTTTGTAAAAGACATTAGTGAATCAGATGGATTTTTCAGACAATCTGTAATGGCTTTGTGGTCATCATTGGACTCTTAATTCCAGATTTTTATTGAATTCAAATTCTACCATCTGCCCTCGCAGAGTTCAAACTCAGGTTCCCAGCATGTTACCTTAATATCTGGATTAACAGTCTAACAATAGTACCACTAGACCATTGCCTCCCTGTTCACAGTGCATTGAAGGTATCTGTTACTGTATATGCTTTGGTACAGGGTATATAGCACTGCATAGGGCATGTAAAATACCAATATCATTGCACACAATGTGTACTGGTTAGGTATCACTCCACACACTGTGCACAGATTAAATATCACCGCTTACAGGGTGTAGAGGGTATGTAAACGAGGCAAACAGTGCTGATGGAGGGTTGTTTTTGTGATTAGAAGTCTGTACCACAGGGATTGGTGCTGGGACCTGTGTTGTTTTCTATGTACAAACAAGGAAAGGATTTACACAATGAAAGTTAGGTCCCTAAGGAGTACCAAGGAACAGAGGGACCTTGGTGTACAAATCCATAGCTCCCTGAAGGTGCATAGCCAGGATGTAGAATATTGAAGCAAAGAAGTCTTGTTACACCTTTATAAAACATTTATTAGGCCACAAATGGAATACTCACCACCATACTTTTGGAAGGAGGTGATTGTACTGGAGAGGGTACAGAGGAGATTCACCAGGATGTGGCCTGGGATGAAAAGCCCCAGTTGTGAGGAGAGACTGGATAGGCTGTGTTTGTTTTCCTTGGGGTAGAGGAGACTGAAGGGGATCTGATTGAGATATACAAAATTATGAAGGACATAGATAGGATAGTTTGTGAGAATCCTTTCCCCATGACAGAGGTGACTAGAGGGCATAGTTTAAAATGAGGAGTAAGTGGTTCCAAGGAGATCTGAGGAAAACTTTTTTCACCCAGAGGATGTTAGAAATATGGAATGCTCTATCTGAAAGGGTGGTGGAGGCAGGTATTCTCACAACATTTAAGAAGCATCTGGACAAGTACATAAAATGCCAGGGCATAGTAGGCTATGGACCAAGTACCAGTAAATATGTAGCTTGGTGTTTGCTAGTTGGCATAGACCTGGTGGGCTGAGAGGCCTGTTTCTTTAGGAATGTATGACTCTATATTATTGCTCATGCTTTCAACAAGCTATATGTCATTGCACAGGGTGTGTACAAGGTCAGCGTTACCATGCACACTATGTACAGGTTAGGTAACACCACACACAATGCACAGAGTATATACCACTGTCTATAATGCACACAAGGTACATATCACAACACAGAATCTGCATGGGATCATTGCACACACTGTGTACAGGGTCAATATCGGTTTATGTAAGGTAGATGTCCTTGCGTATAGTATATACAGGGTACACAATGTACACAGGATATCTATCACTACACACAGTGAGTGCAAAGTATAAACCAATGTGTACAGTGACCACAGGGCAGATATCACCTCATAATTTAAAGTAGATATCACTTTGTACAATGCTTTCAGGATACATATCACTGCACAAATTATATATAAAGTAGTTACCACTGGCCACAAATTGTGCATCAGTAAGTTACTCTGAACAGTGAGTACAAAGATGACATTGATATACATGGTGTGAACAAGGTAATTATCTACCTTATGTACTGTGCAGTGATGTCTACCATGTATAGATGAAATGGAGATTAGGTGACTGCTTGTAGACTCATAGAATCATAAAATACCTAGTGTGGAAGCAGGCCATTCAGCCCATTGGGTCCACACCGATCCTCCGAAGAGTATCCCACCCCAACCCACCCCCTATCCTATCCCTGTAACCCATAGCTAACCCACCCAGCCTGCATATCCCTGGATACTATGGGGCAATTTAGCATGGCCAATCCACCCTAACCTGCACATCTTTGGACTGTGGGAGTAAACCGGAGCACCCAAAGTCAAACAATACAGAAGAAGACCCTTCCCGCACTAGATTCATTGTCTGGTGTACGCTGTGCCTTTTTATGCTGTGCACAGTGATATCCCCCTTGTACACAATATGAGCAGTAATATGTACCTTGCATGTACCTTGTGCAGTGATTTTCATCTGTTATTACTGACCCCACAGTGTGGACAAAGTGGCTTTCACTACAGACTAGGTGGAACGTTATTTATTTGAACCCTTTTGATTTTAGCACTGATGACAGATGTCTGCATGATGATGGCTCTTCATTGATAGCATGGGCAGTTTCTTTCTGGCTGTTATCAGACTGTTGAATGGACTCTAGCCTCAAATAATGTAACCTGCAATGTAACCTGTATGTCTCTAAGTCTTTTTGATCTGTACGTCCTTTGCTTGCTGTGATCTTCATGTACCACTCGTAAACAAAGCTTTTCACTGTATTTTGGTACAGTGACAATAAAATCAATCAATCAAGCAGTGCAGGGTAGATATCACTGCACACTGGGTATACAGGGTAGATATCACTGCACACAGTGTGTATAGGAAAGATGTCATTGTACTTGGTGTATACACTATAGAGTCTCTGTTCCTGCTTTTCATTGCATCTTTAAAGGAGAGATTTGCTTCCTGAAGGAATTTTTGGTCAGGTCCTAATGGAGTCAAACAGTTCAGGTCATTGGATATTTATGTTAAATTCTGGCTGCCTTCAGTAACTTTTATTCTTAAAGTAGGCAATGTGAAAAGTCCAAGGGCCTTGCTAAGAGTGTCAAATGCCAAAACTTCATGGTTTTGAACAAACAATTAACTTTACTGGACAATGTTTCTAAACAAAAAATCTACAATCTACGCACACCTTACTTTTAACACCCAGAATCAACATATAGTAAGTATGTAGAATAAACTGTGATTGAACACCATACAGCACACATCAAACAGCAAAAAAGTGATCAAGGCTGATCCTATCACACTGATTGCTCAATAATTTCAGATTTGATGACCTACAGTGTCACTATCATCTGGGGGGAGCTGTCTTCATCACTTTTTGCTCTTTGATGTGTTCCATAGGCTGTTCAATTGCAATATCATTCATTCATTGGCGGTCTCTTGCAGATGAGGAGGACTGTTCCACTCTCAGAATGACTCCGTAGGTGGCTGTACAGTCTAATGCAGCTACTGCAGGCTCTGTTACACTTAGGGCAGAAGGTGGTTACGGGAACAGGTCGGTGAGGCATTGCTGTGGCAGCACGCTCCTTAAATTGTTTTGGTTGACGTCTGCTTCTTACTGACGGCAAGTCTCGAGATGCTCGACCCCTTCCCGGATGCTCCTCATCCACTTTGGTCTACTGTTTTGAAACTGGGAATAGAGCATCTGCTTGGGGAATCTCGGAATACTTGTGCTCTCACACACATTCTCACCAACTTCCAGTCTTGCTGCCTGTCACCCTTCTTGGTCAGTAACCCTTAAACTGTTCTGAATGAGTTCTTCCAAAACTTGCAACTACGCCCTCTCCTATTTCTGTGCAGAATTACATTGAACAGCCAACTGTCTTAAACTGACGGTGCCCTAAGTGTGACATTATCACAGAATTCTGGCATCTGCAGCACAAAGGATACTTCTGGGAAGAAGGCTTCATCACAGCAATCAGCGACAAACTCTTCCGATGAGCCAACAGCCTGGACATGGAGAAAGGTCCGAGCCAGCTGCAATCTCAGTGGCCCTACACCAGTGGCAAGTTCCACAACGGTAATTTAATGTGTGTTACTACTCGGTTAATGTTTTCTTTCACACAAATCCTATCCTAGGTCTGGGATGTATCTTTGGGTATCTCCTGGCTGTCCACTGGATACTGGATACCTCTTGATTCTCTCCTAACCCTGGGAATAGTCCTGTCTCTGACTCTGGAATCCATCACTCCCTCATTCCTGAGATTGATTGCTCCCTGACTCTGGGATCAGACCCTCTCTCTGACTCTGGAATCCATCTTTCCCTCATTCTGGGATCGATTGTTGCTTGACTCTGGGATCTACCTTTCCCTGACTCTGGGGTTGGTTCTTTAGTCATACAGCAGAACCAGGCCCTTTGGCCCATCATGTCTGTCCTGACAACATACACCAAGCTACACATTTACCTGCCCTTGTCCGTAGCCTACTATGCCATAGTATTTTAAATAATTGTCCAAATGCTTCTTAAATGTTGTGAGAGTATCTGCCTTCACCACCCTTGTAGGCATAGTGTTCCATGTTTCTACCACCCTCTGGGTGAAAACATTTTTCCTCAGATACCCTGTAAACCACTTACTCCTCACCTTAAACTTATACCCTCTGGTCTTAGACATGTCTACCATGGGGAAGAGATTTTGTATATCTCAATCAGATTCTGCTCTCAGCCTCCTTTGCTCCAAGAAAAACAGACCCAGCCTATCCAGTCTCTCCTCACAACTGGGACTTTTCAGCCCAGACAACATCCTGGTGAATCTCCTCTGCACCCTCTCCAGTGCAATCATATCCTTCTGACAATGCAATGACCAGAACTGCACGCACCACTCCATTTGTGCCGTGATCAATGTTTTATAAAGTTGTAGCAAGACTTCCTTGCTCCTATATTCTGGACCCCAGCTAATGAAGGCTAGCATGCCTTCTTCATTGTCTTATCTACCTGTGTTAACACCTTCGGAGATCACTTATGTATCAAGGTCCCTTCGTTCCTTACTTCTCCTAGGGACTGACCATTCATCGTGTACGTCCTTTCCTTATTAGACCTCCCAAAATGCATAACCTTGCACTTATTGGGATCAAATTCTATCTGCCATCACTCTGTCTGTAGTCTGAGATAATCCTCCTCACTATCAACAACACCACCAATTTTCGTGTCATCTGCAAACTTACTAATTATACCTTCTACATTCACATGCAGGTTGTTAATGTACATGACAAATAGCAAGGGGTGCCAGCACCAATCCCAGTGGTGCACCGCTGGTCACAGCGTTCCAATCACAAAAACAACCCACCACCATCAGCATTTGCCTCCTATTTGTAAGCCAATTTTGAATCTAGTTTGTCAACTTTCCTTGGATCCCATGGGCTCTTCTGGACCAACCTTCTGTGTGGGACCTTGTTTAAAGACCTTACTGAAGTCCATGCAAACCACATCAACTGCACTACCCTCATCAATGTATATAGTCATCTTTTCAAAAAACTCAATTAAGCTAGTCAGGCACTTCTTCCTTTAACAAATCTGTGCTGTCTATCCCTGATCAATCCCTATCTTTCCAAGTATTGATTAATCCTGCCCCTAAGAAATTTTTCCAATAATTTCCCTACCACTGATGTCAGACTTACCGGTCTGTAATTATCTGGCCTGTCCCTGCTGCCCTTCTTGAACAAAGGAGCCACATTAGCTCCAGTCCTCCAGTCCCACATTCTCCAGTCATCGGGCACTTTACCTGTGGCCAGTGAGGCATTTAATATGTCCACCTGGGCCCCACCAATATCCTCCCTTGCCTCTCATAGCGGCCTGAGATATATCTCATCAGGCCCTGCAAATTTATGTACCTTTATGCCTACTCAAACCTCTAATACCTCCTCCTCATTAATCTTAACGTGCTGTAGAACCTCACCATCCCAGCTGATATTCCCAGATACAATGTCTTTCACTTTTGTGAATACAGATGAGAAGTACCTCATCCCCATCCTCTGTCTCCCCACACAGTTTGCCCCTTTGGTCTCTAATAGGTCCCACTCTTTCTCTGATTCCTCTTACTCTTAACATACTTACAAAATGCCTTGGGTTTTCCTTGATCCCATCAGCCAAAGATATTTTGTGGCCCTTTTTTGCCCTCTTAATTTCCTTTTTAAGCAACGTCCTGCACTCCATACTTTTGAAGGACCTCCCCTGTTTTTAATGTGCTGTACCCAACGTACAATGCCTTCCTTTTCTTTATCAAAGTCTCAATATCCCCGACATCCAGGCTTCCTGAACTTTCTGCCCTTGCCCCTCGCTCTTAGAGGGACATGCTGTCCCTGAACTCTCATTGTACTACTTTTAAAAGACTCCCAGTTTCCAAATGTAGACTTACCTGCAAGTAGCTGCTCTCAGTCTATGTTTGTCAGATCCTGTGAGCGATATTGAAATTGGCCCTTTCCCAATTTAAATACTCAACTTCTGCGCTATCCTTATCGCTTTCGATAAAGACTTTAAAACTTACAGAATTGTAGTCACTCTCCCCAGAATGCTCACCAACTGAAACTTCAACAACTTGAATGGCATCATTCCCTAGGATTAGGTCTAGCACTGCCCCATCTCTGGGAGGACTATCTATGGATTGACATAAAAAGCTCTCCTAGATACACTTTAAAAATTCCATCCTATCTAATCCTTTCACATTAAAATAATCCTAGTTAACGTTAGCAAAGTTGAAATCCCCTATTACCGTAACCCTCAGACATCTCTGTGATTATGCCTACATATCTGTCCCCCATCTCCCTCTGACTGTTGAGAGGCCTACAGTATAATCCAAGCAAAGTGATCACCCCATTTTTGCTAAGCACTACCCAGATGGCTTCATTTGAAGAGCCTTCAAAAACATCTTCCTTCATTATTGCAGTGATGGTCTCCTTTATCAATAATGCAATGCCCCACTACTCTTACATCCCCCCATCGTGCCTGAAACTTCTATACTGTGGAATATTGAGCTGCTAGTCCTGTCCTTCCTTCAACCATCTCTCAGTGATTGCAACAATATCATAATTCCCATGTGCTGATCAATGCTGTAAGTTCATCTTGCATTAAAATAGATATAATTTAGCTCTCTGGTAATCCCATGTACCTCCCCTGGCCCCTCTGCCTACAAGCCTGCCCAACTCCCTAACCGTGGGATTGGTCCTGTCTTTGACTCTGGAATCTGTCTCTTCCTGACTCTGGGATCTGTCTCTTCCTGACTCTGGGATCTGTCTCCCCCGACTCTGGGATCTGTCTCCCCCAACTCTGGGATCTGTCTGTCCCTGATTACGGGATTGTTCCTATCACTCCCTCTCCCTGCAATACTGCTGTTAAGCATGTGTGTGTTTGATGCTGGTAGATTTCAAGATGGGATTAGTTGTTAGAAACCACTTACAAGCTTGTTCCCAGTTTTCATTCAGAGTCAACGTTTACTGCAGTGAATGTACCATGATAATTATCTCAGAAGCTGTTGTTTCAGGGGATTGTTAAGCATGATACCTGTCAGTGGAGTGTATGTGAAGCTGTGTGCATCCGTTACGTCACCTTAAAATGACTTGCCTCTCAGTAAGCCCTCTTCCACTTTCAGTAAGTTCTTTGCCATTTTCCTGGCTCTGTCAGTGAACCCCATCCTCCACCATCTCTCTTTCTCTCTCTTTCTCTCTCTGTCTCTCTCTTTTCGTCTTTCTCTCCATTTCCCTCCTGGTTCCTCTTCATTCTCCCAGATGGGTGATTGTAAGACTCAATGAGCTGAGTTGTCCGTGTGTTTGCTGTATTCAAGGGAAGACACTGAGAGATGGACAGAGATTCCGTTGGCCAGCTTGCACTGCACTGTGTGTGTACGTGTGTGGCTAATTGTGTGTGTCTTCCCCCAGGTTTAGTGGGACTGTATAATGGTGGCCTGACCTGCTGTGTCAATGCACTGCTGCAGAGCTTCTACCTAACGCCCGAATTCACATCCAGACTACAGCAGTAAGTATTACCCTTTCATTCTCGCAACAGGCAGCAACAGTGGCATTGAAACATTCACTTCTGGTCATACCCAGCTCACATACTCCGTTTATACCTGTCCTGGAGTGTTTGATAGGGATAGTGTCGAGGGAGCTTTACTTTCTGTTTCAAAGAGTAGAGGGAGGTCCACTTCCAAGTGAAAAGAGTAGAGAATTCTCTTTGGTTAATCCACAATCTGTCACGATGTGGAGGTGCCGATGTTGGACTGGGCTGGACAAGGTCAGAAAAGTCACACGACACCAGGTTACAGTCCATCAGGTTTATTTGAAATCACAAGCTTTCGGAGCACCGCCTTGTGAAGTGAGAGAGAAGCACACAGAACACAGAACATAGAATTTATAGGCAGAGAGATCAATGGGCAGAGAGATCAAAAGACCATACAAATGGTGTGCGTGGATTGTTGACAGGCTGAATAATAGGTCTCTACAGATGTTCGAAGGTGTCAGACAGTGTGAGTAAAGTGTCAACAGCTGAATAACGAATGAAGGGATGACCTATAATCTGAATAAATGAGGCAGAAAAATAATTTGAAAAAAATTAAAAATAAGGTGGTGTGCTGTGTTACAGAACATGAGCATATTGAGCTGATGGAATCCTGGGTGATGGAATTTGAATTCAATAAATAGGGCTGAAGGGCCTGTTTCCACACTGTAGGGATTCTGTGATCTGGAATTAAGAACCTAATGATGACCGTGAATCCATTGTCGATTGTCGGGAAAAACCCATCTGGTTCACTAATGTCATTTAGGGAAGGAAACTGCCATCCTTATCTGGTCTAGCCTACATGTGACTCTAGACCCACAGCAATGTGGTTGACTCTGAACTGCCCTCTGGGCAATTAGGGATCAGCAATAAATGTTGCCCGGTCACCCTCATCCCATGAATGAATTAAAGAAAATGAAACCTCCCTCCAATGTGACTCCAGACCCACATCAATGTGGCTGATTCTTAAGCTAAAACAAAGAGCTGTGGGTGCTCAATTTCTAAAATGAAAATAGAAATTGACTGAGGGTTGTCCAGAATAACACAGGGTTTCAAGGGAGGAATGGTGAGGGCAGTTTAACCCAACTAGACTTGTATTTCTTCAAGAATCAACGGTGAAGGGGTAACCGGTCTGAGGGGTGATCTCAGGATCTTGTGGGTGTGGTTATAGAGTTCAGTTTCAGGCTGGCCAGTGTGGATCAGGTCAGTGCTGAGAGTAGAGGGTTTGAAATAATAGATCATAGAATCCCTACAGCATGGAACCAGGCCATTTGGCTCATTGAGTCCACACCGGCCCTCTGAAGAGCATCCCACCCAGACCCATGCCCCTACTCTTTCGCTGCATTTCCCACCCTAGACACTACAAGCAATGTAGCATGGCCAATCCACCTAACCTGCACATCTTTGGACTGTGGGAGGAAACCGGAGTACCCAGAGGAAACACACGCAGACGCAGGGAGAATGTGCAAACTCCTCACAGACGTCACCCAAAAGGTCAGGTCCATGGCGCTGTGAAGCAGCTGTGCTAACCACTGAGCCATCGTGCCATGTTTGATGCTGGTTCAACCTGCTGTGGCTGGATGTCCCACTGGTGTGGGTCAGAACTGCACATAATTCCAGCAGTAGTTCCTGACAATGCTGAGAATTCCAGGATTTTGACCCCGTGACAGGAAAGACAAGGCAATATATTTCCAAGTCAGGATGGAGTGTGGCTCAGCGGCTCAGCAGCTCAGCATATCATCCACTTTTTCAATTATTGGCTAAAGGCAGTGACATCTGGGGCAATAGTGAAATGTGGAAAGCTGGCCTGTTGGGAGAATGAACTCCTTAATATACAGCTATCCTGTCAGTTTCATCCTGCTGTGTTTGCACATCCAGACTGGAATGTTTTCTCTCCTGGTTTGTTGCAGGTGGGATCAGATGCAAAATGAGTCTGATGAGAGGAGCATCCCTTACTGCTTGTGTCGATTGTTTGACCAGATGCAGACCTCGAAGTCCGGTAAAGTGAGCGCAGAGATTTTTCTTCGCTGTCTTAGGTTGAACCATGTGAAAGGTATGTCACTACTGATCTCAGATAACAAGCGATGGTTGTTATGGAGCCTTGCACTCCTCCTGAAACTAGTTGTTACAGAACAATTCAGGCTGTGTAATTGAAACGCAGACTCAAAGGAGATTTAGCCAATTAAAGGAGGGACTTGCATTTCTGTAGCATTTCAGGATGCTCCAGTGAGCTTTACAGTCATTGATGTACCTGTTTGAATTGTAGTTTTAATGAAAGGAATGTAGCAATCAGTTTTCATAGAGTAAGGTCTAATCTGACCAAGCCCAGATAATGTTTTCAAGTGATATCAGTTAATGGATAAATATTGAGCAAGACAGCAGGGAAAACTGCTTGAATATTGCCATTGAATCTTTTATATTCATCTGAGAGGGTTTGACATTCATTCAAAACCAGCCCCTTGGACACTACTGCCCTGGAGTGACCAGCTAGATTAATGGTTCAAGAACTGGCACACCTTCTTCTTCAATGCCTCTTCTCTCTCATCTCTCTCCTTGTCTATGTGTCTCTCTCTGTCTGTCTCTATGTCTCTGTTTGTCTCTCTCTACCGCTTTCTCTCTCTCTCTCTCTGAATGTCTCTGTGAACTTCCTCTGTTTTCCTGTGTCTCCCTTTTTTTAATCCTTGTTTCTGTCTATCTGTCTCTATGTCTCCCTTTCGCTCTTTATGTATCTTGCTTTCTCTCTGTCTCTCTCAACCTCTCTCTCTGAATGTCTCTCACTCTATATCTCTTGTCTCCCTCTGTCTTTCTGTGTGTGTGTGTTTCTATATAGCTCTCTCCGCTCCCCCCTCTCTATTGCTCTCTCACTTTCTCTCTCTCCCTGTCTCCGACTGTCTCTCACTCCTTCAGTCTCTCTCTGGATGTGTCTCTCCGTCTATTTATGTCTCTCTGTGTCTTCAGTCATTCATATTCTCTCTCTCTTTCTGTGCATCCCTCCCCGTTCAACTATGTCTCTCTCTCACTCTCTACATCTCTATCTTAGATATTTATCTATCTCTTTCTTTAGTGTTTTGTGGTAGACAAATTCTACTGCTTAGCTACCCTTTATACATGCATGTAAACACACACATACATGTATACACTCATGTGAACACGCACACTCAAAGCATTACATCAGATGTGATTTTGAACACTGGAACAGAACTGTGTTGGATATGGCATAATTTGACTTCCGGGCAGTGGGTGAATCTTTTCATCTTATTCTTAGAACGCGGACAAAATTTGTGAGGTTGTGTTTGCTGCCCTTCTGTCATCCTTCTGAGGATATTGGAGAGCAGACAACCTGGCACAAGTGTTCCATGTAGGCAGGACTGGAGATCAATAGTGGATTTCTCTTCTTAGAATTCTACAGTGCAGAAGGGGCCCTTTGGCCCATTGAGTCTGTACTGCCAAAGCCACTCTTAATCTACATGAATCCCACTTTCCAGCACTAGGCTCATAACCTTGAATGTTATGACACTTCAAGTGTTCATCCAAGTACTTTTTTAAAGATGGTGAGGTTTCTTGCCTAAACCACCTTCCCAGGCAGCACCATTCCAGATTTCCACCACCCTCTGGCTAAACCGCCTGCCTTTCACTTTAAAATTATGTCCCCCTATTATTGACCCTTTCACTAATGGGAACAGCTACTTTCTATTCACCCTGTCTGAGCCCCTCATAACCTTACATACCTCTATCAGGTCCCCCTCAACCTTCTCTGGAAAACAACCCAAGCTTACCCAGTTTCTCTTCATTGCTAAACTACTCCATCTCAGGCAACATCCAGGTGAATCTCCTCTGCAGTACATCAGTGCAATCACATCCTTCCTATTGTGTGGTGATCAGAACTGCACACAGCACTCCAGCTGTGGTCTAACCAAAGTTCTGTACAGCTCCAATGTTATCTCCCTGTTTTTATAATCTTTACCTCGACTGATAAAGGCAAGTAGCCCATATGCTTTCTTAACTACCCGATTAACCTATCCTACCATCTTCAGGGATCTGTGGACAAACGCCCCAAGATCCATCTGTTCATCTGAGTTTCCTAGTGTCCTGCCATTTATTGAGTACTCCCTTATCTTGTTCCTGCTTCCAAAGTGCCTCACATTTATCAGGATTAAATTCCACATCACAGATCTGACCAATCCATTTATAACCTCCTCTAACCTAACACCTTCTTTGTCACTATTAACTGTTTGGCCAACCTTCATGTCATCCACAAACTTACTTAACTCCCCCACATTCTCATCTACATCATTTATGAATATCACAAACAAGGCAGGGCCCAGCACTGGCCCCTGTGGTACACCACCACATACCGGGCTCCAGTCTCAAACACACACAAATAGCCTTCTACCACCATCTGCCATCACCTGTCATTAAACCAGTTTTGGATCCAGTTACCCTGGATCGTACGAGCTTTTATCTTCTTTACCAATTTTCCATGTGGGATCTTGTCAAAAGCATTACTGAAATCTATATAAATTACATCAACTGCACTACCCTCACTTACACTCCTGATCAGCACATTGATAAATGTTAGTCATGACCGCTCTCTGACAAAGTCATGCCGACAATCCTGATAAAACCTTGCTTACCTAAATGAAAATTAATTTTCTCCTTCAGAATTTTCTCCAATACTTTCCCTACCACTGATGTTAGACTCACTGGTCTGTAGTTCCCTGGTCTATCTCTACCACCCTTCTTGTAAAGTGGAACAACATTAGTTGTCCTCCAGTCTTCTGGCACCTTCCCTGTGACCAGAAAGGAGGGTCAGTGTGGAGTCGATGGGCTGAATGACTTGTTTCCACACTATAGGGATTCTATGATCGCTTCACTCCCAGTGTCAATCTGCTCAAGAACATTAGAGAACCATTCCAATTTTCCTAACAAACTGATGTAGTCACTGTTCTGATACTGATACCAAATTCCCAAATTTACGGCATCCGCAGTTCTTTCGTTTTTTATGAGAGTATTGGTTTCGCCAGCTTATTTGTGTGACAGAAAGAGAGGAAGTAAGGTCAGGTATAGATTTACTGAGCTGATGTAGGGAATAGCTCCCTGAGTCAGCTACAGGATTGAATTGAAAAGTTGGGAGGTTATGCTAAATGTATGACAAATCTTGGCAAGACCACATTTGGAGTATCAGCTGAGTGAGGGCTCTGTTTGTGAGTCTAACTCTGTATAATGATAAATCGAGTGAAATCATTCATGAGCAACTCTTGGTGTCTGGATTAAAATCCTGTAGAAGGTGTGCGGTTTGGTTCAATTCAAATCTGGTGAGTGACCTGACACATTTCTGTTTTTAAGCGTACACACAGAATGATGCAGCAGAATTGTTTCTCACCATCTTTAACCTCTTACTGGATCAGTTACAAACTCCACATATTGTAAGTATAGCAATTATTATCTCCTTTCAAATTGTTACAATTGAACAATTCATTTCCTCAAAACATCAAGAGCTAGTCTCAGTGCATGTATCTACAGTGATGCTATTCCACACCTCTGGAGCAGATGGGAGTTGAACCTGGGCCTTCTGGTCCAGAGGAAGGGACACTAGGCATTACCACAGCACCATAAAAGTCCTCCTCATTTGTAATCAACTTATTCGGACATGTTATGATCCACAGCAGATGGGAGTTGAATGCAGGTCATCTGGCTCAAAGGTAGGGACACTACCACTGAGCCAAACAAGCCCTCCCCATGTCTCTGCAAACATAGAATGTTAGGAAATAATGGGACACAGCATGGTGCAGAAAATTCCCCAGAGTGTAGTAATAGTCATTCCCCACAGAGGGAGCCTCAGATTACAGTCATTCCCCACTGAGGGAGCCTCTGATTACAGTCATTCCCCACAGAGGGAGCCTCAGATTACAGTCATTCCCCACTGAGGGAGCCTCTGATTACAGTCATTCCCCACAGAGGGAGCCTCAGATTATGGTCATTCTACATTTCACATTGTTACTCAGCGAAAATGCATTCTGTACAAACTTACTTTATTGTTTGTCACTATTACAGTTTTAATCCATTTATGTTTGCTCCACATCATTTGTCTGATGTTTACTCTGTTCATTGTTATTCTGTTCCTGTCATGTTTTTGCTGTGTTTATGCTTCATGTCGTGACCCTCGTTTTTCTTCTCAGTGTTACTCTGTCTTTTAATCTTTTCAATGGTACCTGTCGAGGACTACAATTCCCAGCATTCCCTGGCAGATCTACTGTATGCATGATGTGGGACTGACTATGTGCTCATCCTGGAGTTCTGCTTTCAACTTGAGTCAGTTGTTGACAGAGGGCAGTGCCAAAACCAAAACCCCAAGACCTGTGCTGATTGGAAAGGACTCCTGCTCCTAGTTCTTACGTTCTTATGTTCTTATGATATACTGCATGCAAAACTGCTAGTCGGCAGCTGGGAAAGTGATCCCATTATGAAACAGCAGGCTGGCAATGCTGATAGGTGCAGCTTGTTGCTGGGGTTAAAGTTCAGGAGAAACTCTGGCAGTTGGTTACTGCAGTAAGGAGGGATGATATCTTGGAAGGGTCATCGAGTGAGGCTTTGTAGGTAGAGTTTAGAAATAAAAACAGAGCGGTCACACTGTTAGGAGTGTATTACAGACCCCCAAACTGTCAGCAGGCAATAGGGAAGCAAATGTGTAGATAATTCATTGAAGTGTGTAGAGACAATAATAAGGTAATTACATTAGGGGATTTCAACTATCCCAACATTAATTGGGATAATCATAGTTTAGAGGTTTTAGAGGGGCCAGAGTTTTTGAGAGCCTTTTATATCAACATGTAGATGGTCCTATCAGGGACAGTGTAGTGCCAGACCTAACTCTGGGGAATGAAGCCACACAGGTGTTCAAGGTAGCAGTAGGGGACCATTTCAGTGGCAGTGACCACAACACTGTATGTTTTACTTTTGTAATGGAAAAGGAAAAAGATAGCCTGCAAAGAAGGGTTTTGGATTGCGGAATGGCAAATTTTACCAAAAAAAGGCAGGATACGGCCAAAGTAGACTTTGAAGTTGAGGATAAATCCACAGCAGAACAGTGGGAGGTGTTCACAAATGTACAGGAGAAGTACAGGTCCAACATGTTCCCTTCAGAGTGAAATATAGGAGCAACAAGCCCAGAGAATCCTGAATGTCTTGGAATATTCGGCACCGGATAACAAAGGAAAAGAGACATGTATAATAGGTACAAAGTAAACAATACAACAGAGTAGTATAGAAAGTGTAGGAGGGAGAAGAAAGCAAAAGAGAAGGCATGAGAAAATGCCAGTGGGCAAGATTAGGTGGAGTCCCAAGATATTCTACAAATATATCAAGGGGAAGAGAATAACCAGGGAAAGAGTAGGGCCCATTAGGGACCAAGGAGGCAATCTGTGCTTGGAGCTGAAGGACATTGTGTGAGTGTTGCATAAGCACTTCACATCTGCCTTTACTCAGGAGAAGGAGGATATAGGTACAGAATTTTAGAAGATAATGACTGAGGAGGTTTATATAAGAAGTGAGAAAGGAATGGAAGTTTTGGTGGATTTAAAAGTGGGTGAATGTTGAAGGTGGTGGATGTGGTGCCAATCAAGCGGGCTGCTTTGTCCTAGATAGTGTCAAGATTCTTGAGTGTTGTTGGGACTGCAATATTCTATCACTCCTGATATGTGTACTGTGAGTGTTGTTACTCCTGGCATGTGTGCCCTTCACATTATTGCCTTCTGTTCAAGAACATTTGGTCTATTTTTTGAAGTAAGATTAATTTTTCTTCATATTGCCTCTTGGCCAGGTTGAGGAGATGAAGAGGCTATTTGAGATTAAAGTGGAGCAGTTTGTGAAATGTCAGTGTGATGAAGTCACTGTGAGAGACAACAAGTTTTGGAGCCTCCCTGTGCCAGTGAAAGAGACCCAGGATGGTGAAGATTTTACACTGGTAGGTAGGACTCATCCTTCTGTGATTGATACAGCAAAGAGATCCAGGCTGAACAATGGTTAATGTTATTCAGTCTGGACAACGCAGTGGAGTTCTCATTTGAAGTAAACCTTGGGGAATGATACTCTCCAAAGGTCAATTGAAAGAGGCAATTATCATGTAGAAACATTGTGAGACTACAGTGCCCAGGACCAGTGATAAATAACCCAGAGACTGCAGTCGGTTCGACAGGCTGCCCCAGAGAAATGGAAAATAACAGAGAAAATTTGACAGTGTAGTGGACAGTATTAAATATAAACATTGAAACTGTGGAAATGGGTGAGCTAGGCTCGACAAGACAGGATTACGAACCCTCACAAAAGCATATAAAGAGTGAACTTTTAACAGCTGTACAAAATACAAGATTAGAGAAAGAACTTGCACCAATATGGCATTTCCTGAACCCCAAAGGAAATAAACTACTTCTAATAGCTTTCCCAGCCACCCTGACAGCCTATGGATTTCCCAACCACCCTGACAGCCTATAGCTTGCCCAGCCACCCTGACAGCCTATAGATTTCCCAACCACCCTGACAGCCATGTTTGTATTTTCAATAGTAACCCCTGTGTCTGCTTCCACAGGAAGATGGCTTGAAGATGTTTTTCTCTTCCCAGCCAGTGAGGAGAAATAACAGATGCTCAAACCACGATTGCAAGATGAAAAGCCCAGCGCTAAAGGTACACCAGTAACAACCTGCATTTATGTAGCACCTTTAACACTATGACATGTTCCAATTTGCTGCATGGGAGTGTTCGAAACAATATTTGATGGCTCATTATGAACAGAAGATGTTGGACACGGATAAAGAGTAGGTCAATGGAGGAGGGAAATGAAGTAGAGCAGCAGAGAGGGGTAGGGAGGGAATTCCAGATCTTGAGGCCCAGATACGGTCACTGATGGAGAAGTGATTAAAATCAGGGAGGTTCACCAGGTCAGAGTTAGAGGAGCACAGATATCTTAGGGGTAGTGGGGCTGGAGAAGATTACAGAGAGGAAGAGGATGGATTAGAAAACAATGATAAGTCATTACTTGACCAGGATCCAGTACAGGCCTGTGAGAACAGGGTGGATAGCAAGATGGGAATTGATTTGAGATAAAACACGGGTAGCAGAGTATTGGATGGACTCATTTGAATGTGGGAGACCAACCAAGAATGGCTTGTACTAGTAGGATCTCGAGGTAATAAAGCTGTGGATTAGGGTTTCGTGGTCAACCTTTGGGGAACACGAAGGGGTAAAAGTGTAGGAGCAGGAGGAGAAGGCTTTGCAGGTGATTCTTGGCCCGTGATTAGACTGATAAGAATGGAACCAGGTGAGAACAGTAACTACCCCCCCAACTCGGAGCTGGGTGACAATGGGGATGTAGGGCTGCTCTTTCATTAGAGAGAACCCGAGGGTCACCATGCCTCAGGTGAGGGGAGAGGTTGAGAAATAGAATCCTTCATGGTAACCTCAGCCAGTACGGGAATTGAACCCATGAAGTTGGCATCACTGTATCACAAACTGGGCAGCACACATAAGGTGGCACGGTGGTTAGCACTGTTGCCTCACAGTGCCAGGGACATGGATTCAGTTCTAGCCTCAGGCGACTGTCTGTGTGGAGTTTGCACATTCTCCCCGTGCCTGCGTGGGTTTCCTCAGGGTGCTCCGGTTTCCTCCCTCAGTCGAAAGGTGAGCAGAATACAGTGGATTGGCCATGCTAAGTTGCCTACAGTATCCAAAGATGTGCAGGCTAGTTGGATTGGCCATGGGAAATAAAGGGTTACAGGGAAAGGGTAGGGGATTGGGTCTGGGTGGGATGTTCTTTGGAGCATCGGTGTAGATTTGATGGGCCAATGGGCCTGTTTCCACACTGTAGGGACTCTATGATTCTGCAACTGGCCATCCAGTCAACTGAGCTAACTGCCTCCGCACTAAATAAGGTAAGAAAGTGGAAACAACATTTGAGAGAGAGGAGGGGACTTGGAAGTCGACAGTTTATGGGAGTAGAGCTGAGGGAGATGGCACTGATGGACAAGATAAGGAGAAAAGATACAAGCCCAGGGATCAGGCTGTTGTTGGGGATGGGGGAGCGGCTCTTTAAGAAGACAGTTTGCTGCAGAGAAATGATGCCAGGTTTACATTTGCAATTCCAGGATGGTGCTGAAGTTGTTGGCAAGGTTAGAAGACGAAAGGAGGACAGGGTGTGGGTGGTGACTAATGTAAGACAGTGATCAGAGATAACTTTCTCTCTAGTTGATACAGGGAGGTTATGTGAGTAAAGAGACATTTACATTCATATAGCAACTTCCACTAACATTGGGCACTCCAGAGTCTTTCACAGCCAAGGAACTATTTTCAGAAGTGTTGTAATGTGGCTGATTTACACATAGCAAATTTCCACAACAATGTATTAATGACCTGATCATTGGTTTCTGCTGACTGGAGAATATATATTGGCCTGGATACTGGAGCGTGCACTCCCATTCCTCCTTGAAATATGAACATGGGATTGATAATATCCACATGACAGAGCAGATGGGGTGCAGTTTAACATCCCACCTGAAAAGCAGTGTCTCTGACTGCTTGGGTCCCCCTCAGGGCCATGATGCAGGGTCTGCCAAGATATTTGTGCTCAGTTCTCAGAGGGTGACTTAGAACTCGTGACCTTCTGACCCAGAAACAAGAGGCACTACCCACTGAGTCACAGCTGACATGAGCAGTTCACTAATGGTGCCTATGAATTATATGAATTATAGAATTATAGAACAGGCACAGCATGGGGTTAGACTCAATGCCAACAATATTAATTTACCTCCATTACCTCTCCATCATGTGTCCAATCTGTAGGTGATGACTGTGGCTCTTGTTATTCTTTCTGGTGTGTTCACTCTGATTGGATGTAGCCCTGTCTCAGTCAGTGTTCAGAGGAGGTGCCCTACCTCAGTCTGTAATGGATGAAACTCAGCTGCCAGATGCTCTGTCCAGCCTAGGCTCTGCCCTCTTTACCATCTTCCTTGCCCTGCAACTGCCCAGACCTTGGCATTCTCACTGTATTGGGCTGAGACTGTAGTTGGACAGGGGTTGCCAGGGGAGAAGGCACTGCCTCTCTGCAGTCCCTGTGATCATTGATCTGGGAGCCCTATTTACTGGTCAGTGGATCTGCTGGTGTTCTTGTGCACACACACTGACCTTTCCACATGACCCTCTGGGTTTTCCATGGTGGAGCTTCTGAATCAGAGAGAGCAGATTATATCCCAACACCTCGCTCACCCTACAGCAAACATGGGAGTGCAAGTGATGCTAATTGGAGGAGTGTTTGAAGGGGGCTACTGTTTGTGAACTGCAAGCTTTCTAGCTATTTCTAATATTTCCCGAGGCTGGGTCCTTCCCGCTCACACCAATCCTAATACAGGGCTTTGGCTTTTGATTTAGGGTTTCAAGCTTATCTCAGTCCCTGAGGTCCTGAACCTGCATCTGAATCGATTCTGTGCTGCGTCAAATCGAGAAGGTTTCACCAGGAAGATCTACAGCTTGGTGACATTTCCCGAAACCCTAAACCTCAACCAGTTTCCGAACTCAGAAAGAAGCCAGAAATATGGAAATTCCCAGGCAAGTTGTTAATATATTACACGAGAAACCTGTCTCTAATACCTGGTCAGGTAAACTCTTAGTATAGTGCTTCAGTTCTTCTGACTACATTTTAAGCTCATTAATGTCCTCCAGGGATGGAAATCCGCCATCCTCACCCAGCCCAGCCCACTTGCAGTTCTAGCCCCACAACATTGTGGCTGACCCTCAACTACCCTCTGAAAGGCCTAGCAAGCCACTCAGTTGTGTCAATCACTACAAAGTCTCAAAGAAATGAAACCAGACGGATCACCTGGCATTGACCGAGGCACCGGAACAGGCAACAGCAAAAACAGCCCTCTCAACCCTGCACAACCCTCCTCACTAACATCTGGGGACTAATGTCAAAATTGGGAGAGCTGTCTCTCAGACTGATCAAGTGACAGCTTGACATAGTCATACTTACTGAATCATACCTTACAGACAATGTCCCAGACAACAACATCACCATCCCTGATATGTCCTGTCTCACCAGCAGGACGCACCCCGCACATGTAGTGGCACAGTGATATACAGTTGGGAGGGATTTGCCATGAGAGTCCTCAACATTGACTCCAGACCCCATGACGTCTCATGGTTTCAGGTTAAACATGGGCAAGGAAACCTCCTGCTGATTACCACGTACCGTCCTCCCTCGGCTGATGCATCAATACTCCTCCGTATTGAACAACTCTTGGAGGAAGCACTGACGATGGCAGGGGCACAAAATACACGCTGGGTGCAGGCTTTCAATGTCCACCACCAAGAGTGGCTCAGCAGCATTGCTACGGATTGAGCTGGTCGGGTCCTAAAGGACATAGCTCCTAGACTGGTTCTGCAGCAGGTGTTGAGGGAACCAACAGGAGGGAAAAACATACTTGACCTCATTCTTACCAATCTGCCAGCTGCAGATGTATCTGTTCATAACAGGATCGGTAAGTGCAACTATTGCACAGTCTTTGTGGAGATGAAGTCCCACCTTCACATTGAGAATAACCTTGTTGGTATCATCTGGCACCATCACCGTGCTAAATGTTTGAACAGATCTAGCAACTCAAGACCTTGAGGCGCTATGGGCCATCAACAGCAGCAGAATTATACTCCAGCACAATCTGTAAACTAATGGCCAGCATATCCCTTACTCAACCATTACCATCAAACCAGGGGATCAACTTGGTTCAATGGAGAGTGCAGGAGGGCATGCCAGGAGCACTAGGCATACCTGAAAATGAGGTATCAAGCTGGTGAAGCTACCGAACAGGACGAGAACAAAGAACAATTCAGCACAGGAACAGGCCCTTCTTCCCTCCAATCCTGTGCTGACACATTCTGGCCTTCCATATTAAAACTGCCTTCACTGACAGGATCCGTATCCCTCTATTCCCTTCCTATTCATGTATTCGTCCAGGTGTTTCTTGAATGCTGCTGTTGTGTTTGCTTCTACCACCTCCTCAGGCAGCACATTCCAGGCACTCACCACCCTTTATGTGAAAAATGTGCTTCACACATCTCTTTTAAACATCCCCCTTCACCGTGAACCTGTGTCCCCTAGTAATTGACCCCTCCACCCTGGGAAAAAGCCTCATTCTTTTCACTCTATCTATGTCATTCACAATCTTACAGACTTCTTTCAGGTTGCCCTTCAACCTCCTGCATTCCAGTGAAAACAAACCCAGACTATCCAATCTTTCTTCATCGCTAAAATACCCCATACCAGGCAACGTCCTGGTAAGAGATAGTAGGAACTGCAGATGCTGGAGAATCTGAGACAACAAGGTGCAGAGCTGGATGAACACAGCAGGCCAAGCGGCATCATAGGAGCAGAAAGGCTGACGTTTCGGGTCTAGACCCTTCATCAGAAAATG